ACACACTTCAAAATATATAGTTAAATTTAAGCAATAATAATTAAGAAAGCTTACACGAAGCTCAGGTGCACCTGAACTACTTTCGTCTGGTTTGGAGTAAGTTTCGAATCATCAAAAAGGTTAAAGTCTATTTTAGCCTCGCTATATACGCTATCCCACAACAATGTGGAAAACGCACTTTCTGTTTTATACATTTTCTTAAATTTTTCAAGAAATACTTAAAGGATTATTTTGTAACTTTAGATGAGATTGCAACTTAGAGAAGTAACTTAGTAACTTAGATATAGATACTCTTTTACAACTTAGAGATGTTTAGTTCATGCAATTTTTCATACTTAAAGCAATAAAATTTAAAGCTTGCAAAGGTTTGAGAGACCTGTAATAAATTACGAAAAAAAACCAAGTATTTTTAATACCCTATGCTAGAAAATCAAGCAACAAGCTTGTAAAATGCATCGATAACTTTAGTTGTTATTTTTAACAACTGCAAAACGTTTTGTAAGCCTAAAGTGAATATTTATGGAGATAAGGACAACTTTATAAAAAATTATTTTTTTCGCTTTAAGTTTTTTCGTTATAACTTTATAGATATTCAATGGAATGAAACAAAAGTTTTTGGAGCAATTTAAGATTAATTACAAAATTGCAGTTTTAAAATTTTAAACAAAATGGTTAAAACCTTTGCAAGTCATGAGTATTTAAGTTAGTTCTCTTAAACTGCGCATGCATTGAAACAATTTCAAAAAGAAATTTGAAACAATTTGAAACAATTTTTAAATTTTTTTTCATAACTTTGTATCGTTTCATAACTTTGTGGAATCGTATTTGGCAACTAATAAAAAAAACTCTGATTTGATAGTCTTAAAAATTTAAAAAGCTTCAAGCAATTTTCTAAGTAGTTTTTGAAAAGAAAGCTCAAAACGATGACAAATTTTATTTTGTATCATTCGACAAAATGTAATAAAATCTGACAGTTAATGAAACATGAAAAAGAAAACATACTTTAAGGGGGTGAGGGCGATCCCCACATTGCCGGTCGCATCTTCAATAAATCTTGTTTAATAGTACAAGATGAAATTCATGGATAACCCCTTATGGCTTTGAGCTTTCTCTTCAAAATTACAAAAACTACTTGAATCTTTTTAAATTTGTAAGATATGCAACTAAAACTTTTATCATTAGTTGCCAACTACGATTCTTTAGAAAATTATGAAAAAGTTTTTCAAATTTTTTTTAGTGAGAAAGTATAATAAAAAAGTAAGTATAAAAAAGTAAGTCAAAATAAGTATAAAAGAACTAGCTTAAATACTCATATCTTACGCAGTTTATACAAATTTTTTTTTGAAATTTCAAATCAAAAATTTTGCAGTTAATCTTAAAATTCTCCAAAAGTTATGTTTAATTTCATTGAATATTTATGAAGTTATAGCAAAAAAATGTAAGACGAAAAAATAAATTTTTTCGTCTTAATATTGTTGATATCTCCATAAATATTTACTCTAGGTTTACAAAACTTTATGCAGTTAATAAAAATAACAACCACCTTCCTTACATTTCACTTTAAAACAATTATAAACCACTTACAACACTAAATTTATCTACATACATAATATTTTTTCTGGTAATAGAATTAGCTCTGAATCAATTTTTAAGATAGGAACTAATTATGATAAGCTATTCTTAATGCCACTGGACGGAATAGTTTGGATGCTTGACTTTTTATACTGGATCAATTAATTTCTTAAGTAAACTTCTAAATAAATTGTAGCCTTTATTAAATTAATTTAATTTTTAATTTTAATTGTACAGTGTAATAAAGTATGGAACGGACTCTGGTTTATGAACAGCCACCCCCGATAAATCTATAAATGACTTTCTATCCATGTATGTAGGCTCTGACTTACAAACAGTCACCCTATGAAAGAATTAAAACCAATAAAGGTATAATTCTTAATTTACGATTGTAAGTTAAGCCCTACAAATATTACCTATTTGAATGTTTTTTTAAAATATAGCTGTTTTTTTATAAATACATTTTATATTGTTTTTCTTAACTTTTTTTCCTATTATGTGTTTTGTGGCATAAATTTTCAAATTGCTATTATTAAAGTGTTCATTTCATAGATGGCAGCTGTGAAATATAATTTGATACATATTTTTTTGCCAAATATATTTTTTAACAATTATTTATACAATATAAGCTATAAGCACATGTATATATATTTTTCTCCTTCTTAGCAATCTTGCGTTAACTACTAGATTAATATGTCTATTTTTTAAGACATTTTTATTTTTCACTCCATATTAGTAAGTAAGTTTGTTTTCTACTTTTTTTTCTCTTTCATCTCAAACTAATTTTTATTTTCAATGATATAAGACACATTTTAAAGAGTAATTTTTATCTTTATTTCGAAGAAATATGTAAAGAAATGCCTACTATATATATATATATATATATATATTATATATATATATAT